TTTAATAAACTAAACGTTCACCAAAAAACTTTAGTGAGAAAAATCGAAAAAACGAACTACAAACATATTAACGCCAAACATTCGGTAGAATTTATAGAATATTGTAAAAATTATGGTCTATTACCAACATATATATATATATATATATATATATATATATATATATATATATATATATATATATATATCGTTAAAAATAGACGCCCATTTTGCTTTCATTATTTTTTTAAACAAAACTTCAATACGTCTAAACTGGCTGAATTCATATTCATTTAATAACTGATTTGAAGGCAGTTATTAAAATAAATATAAATTCAGCAAATTTTTAGACGTGTTAAAGTTTTTAAAAAAAAACATAAATGCAAAACGGGCGACTATTTTAACGATATTTGCTTCCAAGAAAATCTCGTCCCCAATTACACACTACACACACACCCCCCCACACACACACCAAATTATATATATATATATATATACGTTCATATACGTACGAAACGTACGTCTGGCCTAACGCGAGTAATGGTTTAATACCTCTTGCGACCGAATGGGTCCTTAAACCTTATAACAGCGCGATGTTGTTCTTACCTATTGATCGCGACACCTCAATTTGAGTTTTTTGGTTACAATAATTGAGTTGTGTTATCTTAAACTTTATTCGGCAGGCTACTGACAAGTCTCGTGAGAGACGAAACGTACGTCTGGCCTAACACGGGTAATGGTTTACCAATAATATATTGAAAATCGCGACGCTGAATTAAAGAGAGTCGGAAGAGTGTGTGAATGCCCGGTTCACAAATGATTTTATTGTGCTGTCTTTAAATTGTTCAGTGCATTCACTTTGTTCATTCAAACAAATTCCTGTATTCGTTTCTTTGTCATAAGGGATATTGAAAATCGCGACGCTGAATTAAAGAGGGTCACTAACCTGCTTGTAAACAATGGATATAAGACTTACTCTATTGAAAAGATTGTTAAAAACAAATTACTACACAGCAATAACCTTCCTAGTACCAACAATCAAGATAACGACATCATCTTGTATTACAGAAATCACATGTCAACAGCATACAAGGTAGATGAAGCTATTCTTAAGCATATCATCAATAAAAATGTCACACCAACCAACCCAAATAGTAAAGTTAAACTCCGAATTTATTACAACAATAAAAAGACGTCTCACCTAATACTGAAAAACAACTGCAGTCCTAGAGATAACTCTGAGTTAAAGCGTAATCACGTAATATATGAATTTAATTGCCCCTTTGACGGCTGTGCACGTCAACATGACTCATATATCGGGATTACTACTACCTCATTGACTAGAAGGCTTACGAGGCATAAACAGAGTGGTGCTATCAAATCTCATTTGGACTCAACACACTCAATCACTATTAGCCGTGAAATCCTCGACAGCAACACCAAAGTAATATACCAGAACAGCAACTACACGCATCTTAAAATTGCAGAAGCAGTCCTAATCGACATCAATAAACCAAAAATAAATAAACAACAAAAAATGACAACCTCACTTCCAACCCGGCGCTTAACCAACAACGAAAACAAAGTAATAAAAACTAACATCATAAATAGTGACAAAGAAGAATATGATGCTATCGATGAAGAAAAGGAGACCAAAGAAGATGACCAGCCAATTAAGAAACCTGACACCTATTTCGCATCAAAGTTCAATTTTACAACACCAAAGTTAATTTGTACAACGTCAAAGTTAATCTTGACAAAGTCAATATTTCCCTATATATACAGCAGAAAGCACTGACGATGATTCATTCGGAATCGAAATATGGCCTTATTTGCAGCATGAATTCGAAAAATAAGTTTATTTTGAATTTTAATAAACTAAACGTTCACCAAAAAACTTTAGTGAGAAAAAACGAAAAAACGAACTACAAACATATTAACGCCAAACATTCGGTAAAATTTATAGAATATTGTAAATATATATATATATATATATTTATTTATATTTATTGGATTAAGACTGTCAGAAATGTAATTATTGATAAAAATCACAGCAGGTTCGGCATTAGTTAACTTCCAATTTAACTTTTCCATTTTTCTAAGGGTTGATCGTAAATCATTTTTAAGTTTCTTTAGTTCACAACCAAAATTTTTGTTTATTTTATGCTTTTTTCGGTATTCCTATACCATCTTCTGTCTTTAAATTGATATGTTGTGGTTATGCCCATATGATCAAATATTTTATACTGTGCCTATTTATTGGTTCCTTGTTTATTCAAAATGAGTATTTAGTTTTACAGTCTTTCAACATCGTAAAATATAACACTTTTACGTGTTTTTATTATCGATGAATATAACATTTTTATGTGTTTTCATTATCGATGAATATAACACTTTACGTGTTTTCGTTATCGATGATTTCTCTGTTTCTAAATTTATTTCAATTGTCCGTTGTTGAATATTTATTATCGGATGTCTTTGTTCTATGAGTATTGATTCGGCTAGTCGTAAATTATAATGGCTGTTATTGTAATGTAAGATTTTAACATTGTGGTCCAGAATTTGTCTAGTAATTTTAGTTTTGCGTTTCTCTTTCATGTGATTCTTTATAGCGCCAGTTTGTACCTGCATCGTGAGTCTTCTCGATAACTTAGTCGTCGTCATACCAATATATTCAGAATTATGTTGCCCACACTCACCAATATTACATTTGAACACATATTAGATCCATTATCGATTTTGGTTTACTATTGCAGTTGTTTTTTGTCACAAGAGATGACATTCTTTGGTTGCAGTATTATATTCGTAGTTTATCACTATCATTTTCGTTGATTGCTTGGACGTTATTTTTTATGATTTTTTTCATAATTTTTTCGTCCTGTTCGACAGCGGTTGACACATGATTCTTATAATATATTACTATGTTATATTTGTTACTATTGTTGGTTGCATTGTTGTTGTTGTTGTTACTTTTTTGTTCTTTGCGTTCTATTTATTTTCTGGATCATGGAATTTTTATATCCATTATTAGTAAGTATTTTAGTGTTTCTATCTAGTTTTCATGTGGCCTCAATCTTTGTGGCCTTAAACCTTTGGGGCCGAGGCAATCTACCCCTTTTGCCTCTTCTGGCCGGCCATGTGTCAATTCACGTTCAACTTT